TGAAAAGTCAGCAATGGCACTGTAGAAAATAATCCACTGTCACTGTTACAATGATGACCAGTGTGGCTGTAAAACAAAGCATTGTGATGGAAAACAATGAAAAATACCTGTAGGATACAACGGTTCTGTTCTCATTTATAATAATTATGTCTACTCTTCTTTGTTTTGTGTAGGTACTGTCAGAGTTTATGATTACATATCTAAGACTCAATTATGTCAGATGAAATTCAGTGCTGGTGGTAGTGTTCTTGCCTGGCTACCTCAAATTGTAAGTGATGATACCCATTATTATGTGGAAGTTAAACTGAAAAAAGTTTTGAGTTATTACGAGAATACTCAGACAGTACTGAATTGCATTAACTTTCAGTATCCATAGGTTAACACAATCAACTTACTACAGTGGTCGAAATTAAGGCATGTCCACCTGTCCCAGACAGGCAGACTTTAGGTGGGACAGGTGAATGAAGAAACTGTGTCACTGTGTCTGGGTGAATGATTAAATGGGGCAGTCCTAAATTGCTAATTTCCAGAAAATTGCTTTCAGAGCTTCTAAGACTTATGAGATGATGATGAGCCAGAAATGGAAATTTGATTTTGATTAATCTGTTTATATTTATCTTGCTAGAGATAGATACATCATCAAATGGGAGAGACCATTTTGATTTGCCAACCTGTCCAATGGACAGACAACTTTTATGTTTAATTTCAATCCTTGTACTACCACAGTGCATTTATAGTGGTATTGTTGTGATAACATTATCAATACATACTGTGTAACAACTTTTTTTTAGCTAGCATGTTATTTTAGCTAATTTATCTAATCTGTAATTTTGCTAATTCAAGATGTCACTAATTTAAAATAAAGTATATTCTCACATTGAGATTGTTGACACTTTAGCTAAATTAAGATTCTGTTAATTCTTGCATTGAGTCAAATTCTCTAAAATGGCATTTAGTTGTTTCAACATGTTTTGCAGTATTGGTGTATCGGTAGTCATCATTTAGTATGAGAAAACATTCTGAAAAGCCATCAAATTGCATTACACAAGATTCCTTTTTGTGTGATCATTTGTATTCAGTTCAGAGCGTAATTTTCACTGCATCTGATGTTAACATTTATCAAAGTGCTCAGATTAACCACACATTTTCTAAATAAAGCAGACCTCACTAACACATTAGAATGTACTTGAAACACTTCTGAACGATAATGAAAAAAACAACATGAGTATGAGGTGTGCATAATCTTAATGAAAAATGGTTCACATGGATTTTAGTTCATTTTTGATTTTGAATTTAACAGAGAATTCTGTGTGTGATTTTGTAACTTGATGACACCCTAAGATGCTGAAAACAAATTTATGGAAAGGGTCAGTGATGTCTGGCTATTTGAAAGATATGTTGATGCCCATTATCTTGTACTGTAACTGCTCCCATATTGACTTACATGCCTTCAATGGCTTCAAACAAAATGTTGTCAACAATACAGCTGTGTTGTAGTTGTTGGTATGGCTGTGAAATTATTAAAATTATATTTTATTTTTAGATGGATCCCAAAGGTGCCACCATTGTTGCTGGGTTTGACGATGGTGTCGTCAGAGTTCTAAATGTCTACAAGAAAGAACTCAAGAAGCCACAGTCTGTTG